CCCCTGAGAGAAAAACAGCCCAGTAAAATTAGTCAACCTGCCTAATCTTCATCACAACCAATTCAAAATTAGGGCCACAACTATTGTATGTATCTCAACTTCCCACCTCCCGCGCACATGATAGAAGGGGCTGCCCGATCATCATGCAGTAACTACCACATGCAATGGTACAACCGTTTTACATGGACGCTATGCGGGCTACCGGCTACGGTTGCACATGCATAAGTGAGTCAATTTTACACGCTTTGAGGTGACTTAGGGCTTGACAATGGTGTTGTCATAGGAGTTCCATGTAGAATAAATTTGAGGTCTAGGAGAAAGAAACCATGAGAAAATTCATGTTTTCTTTTAACCGAGAGATGATCTCTCACCACGATATGTCTCATCATATATTTATTGATATTTAGTATCGGAGATGATACTAAGAAACAACACATTGTACAACACTTTTTATTGTTTTTATAGATTACATGGCGAGGGTAAAATAAGTTTGTCTTATCAACCATTGTACATGTGCTTATAATCTACGAATATATGAGATTGGTGAGCCGACCAAATAAATGGATGGAGGGAGTACTAAGCTATGATACTACTATGCATTGTAGAGGTAGTATCATACACTGGTATCATATGCGTGATACTAATATATATACTTTTCATCGTGGGCAGCCTAATGGTGAGAGCTCAACATGTTTAGCGTACAATTAATATCATACTCTCTCTGTTTCTAAATATAAGATCTTTTAGAGATTCCGATGCAGATACAAAGCAAAATGAGTGAATCTACAGTATAATATGCGTCTATATACATCTGCATGTAGTTAGTATTGAAATATCTAAAATGTCTTATATTTAGAAACAAAGAGAGTATAAAAAATTAATGTCAGTGTTAATTACATAATTAACGCATAGATTTCCTAACAATGTATGTGTGCGATTAATATTATACTTAATAATACTAACGTGCATTTCACATACGCATTTAATAATAGCAACACTTCCTTCGTTCCTAAATATAAGTCTTTTTAGAGATTCACATGGACTACAATATACGGATGTATATAGATATATTTTAAAATGTATATTCACTCATTTTGCTTTGTATGTAGTCACTGGTTGAAATATCTAAAAAAACTTATATTAGGAACGGAGGGAGTAGAAATGATTTAAAATATTAAACTATGATGGTAGACCTGCCACGGCATGCTTGCGTGGGCTGCCATCGCTGCCGGCCAGCTGTGAGCTTTTCCGGTGCACTGTTGCGCGCCTCCCCGTCCCTCTGAGTTTCCACGTCGTTGCCAGCTCCGGTTTGGTCCGGCAGTTGCGGCCCACTCGAAAGGCCAGCCGATGGACATCAGCACAGCACCCACCAGAAGAAAAGACGGTATATATAATACACAAGAAAAAAACATTCCTCTTCGTTTTACACGGCTGCCAACTCGCGTACCAGTTCGCTGTTGCTTTGACGTACACGAACTATACGACGTAGTACAAACTTCAGCAACACATTCGAAACAAATTTCATCCGCAGAGGCTGCGTGGTAGTAGAAAACTTGGGAGAAAAGTTGAAGAAAAGGTCACGTGGTGGCGCCACCGGCGGCCAGCGCCTTTCCACGTGTGGATCCAGTAGGCGCCCGCTGTCCACGCGGCACCACGTGTCGGTGCGCCCAAGGCGGTCGGTTCGGATTCCATGGCCTCTCCCCACCAATCGCCGTAGATCCCGGGCCCACCCGCCACTACCCTTTTTTAATTTAACCCGCGCACGTGTGGACCCCTCCAGCCCAAACCAACAAACCAACCAACCATCCCCTCCCTTCGAGGTTCGTTCGACTCGCCCATCGCCGTCCATTTATCCACGTGGCAAAACTGAGATCACGACAGGATAGACGGGCCGGCCCCACCGCCGCCCGGTCGCACCGCGACACCCGTGAGGTGCGAAAGCGAAACGTAACGCCCGCGACGGAAACAGCGGGTAACTACTTTTCCCAGGATCCTAGAGAGAGAGAGAGAACGGGGGAAGGGTAGAGAGAGAAAGCTACTGCAGAGGGAGGGAGAGTCGCCGCCTATTAATACGCGGCCTCCTCAGCCTCGGTCTCCTCTCCTTCCGGCCCCCGAATCACAGACCCCCCCAACCCCTGCTCCTCCCCCGCCTCGCCGTTGACGCCTCCCCCTCTGGTGCCTCGCCCGCGCCGGCATTGGGCGCGTCCCGGAGAAGGTCTCCCCGTCCGGTATGGCTCCTCGTCCCTGTATCGATCGGCGCCGGTGGTTTCTTTGGGTTCGTATTAATTGGCTGCGACCCCGTTGCGGCGTGCGCCTAGTAGATCTCGCGCGGAATTGGTTTCCGGTTGTTTCCCCGGCGTCTCCCCTCGGTGCGCCGGCCGGGACCGGCCGCCCGACGGGGAGCGGATGGCGGTAAAAGCCGTCTCCGTCCTGTTCCATACGTGGAACCGTATCGAAGGCCCCCGAAAGACGGGTGTTTTTGGTTGGCTATCGATTGATCTGTGGGTAGGGGGACGGTAACGGCACGGTCATGGCCGTGGATGGATCGAGGCGGTGGCGGTGGTTGGCGGTGTGGGATTCTTCGCGAGGGTCCCATGCCCGTACCTTCTTTTTGCCCTTTTCCCCAATCCTTTTTGGATGCATTGCAACTTGCAAGGGGAGAGATGGGGAGACTGATTGTCTTGAAAAAATAATTCAAGGCAGTACACCCGCTGGCTTGGGCTTGTCGTCGCGCGCAATTGTCCTTGTTGGTTGGGGTTGATGGGGGCTGTGGCTTTCACTGCCGCCGTTGCGCGGGGCATGTTGCGTCGCCCGGGCTCCATTATGATGTGAAGGCAGATTGATTGCTTGGGTTTGCTTGATTGGTGCACTGCGCTATCCCTATCCAATCCCTCAGTTGGTTCCATCCATCAGAGATGAAAACGCACAGCGGCAGCTCAGCTAATCCATTATTGGGTTATAGTTTACGTTCTTGTTGCCACCATTATTAGCACTAGTAATGGCCATGCGCACATGCTTTGTACTTGTCCATGTATGCATTCTCGATTTGCTTCTCAACAGTTGTTTTTCCTTACCTTCTTCCTTCTTTATTTAAACTTCCACCGGTCAATTGTACTATTGTGTTAGGATTTACATAGGGTTTGGGGTTTCAAACTTGGATTATGCGGTTCCCACTTTCTGTAGCCGTGTCATTTTGTTCCATGCTGTCAATTTTAGCTGCTAATGATGGGTGGATGTTCGGTTAAAAAAGTGATGGATGGATGATATGTCATTTTCCAACTAATGTTTGGTGGTGCATAAATGGAATCACACCGTCGTGTCTTCTCATTTCTCCTTGTCCCCCAGGATTCTTATTTCCTATTTTAACTTGCAAGACAAATGTACTAGCTATTTTGTAAAGCAACCCGAGCAGTGTTGTCAGCTGTTCTTGCTTTAGTTTTGGTGTTCCATTAAATAACAAAGTGGTCGTCTTCTTAATGCAGTGTTGGTTGTGACTCTACTCAATTATTGTTCTTGGGCCGGACCCGTCAGATACAGGAGCCTTCCTCTTAGCGATATCAACCGGTATGCGTCCGGGTATTCTCCTTGTTATTTCA